TATTGGAATAAATTCCGTTTTTTCTGATAATTTAAATTCTTCTAAATAATTATTTACTGTAACTTGATAATATTCAAGACCAATAATGTAAATTTTTGATGATTTTTTTTCTAACCACTGTATGTTATGAACAAGTAATGGTTTATTTAAAATTCGAAGTGTAAATTTTGGGTATTCCATAGTCGTTATTGGAAATATATCTATACCAGGCCCTAATAATATTATTGAGTCAATTTTATGGTCCATGGGTATTCAAAGTCAAATAAAAAAATATATTTTGATCTTTTTTTAAGAAAAAATATTAAAAATTCAAAACGAAATGTTTCTTTGTGAGTTTCAAGTTTATGAAATTCCATTCTTTTATTTTTCGATATTTAAAATTTATAAATGGTCTTTCATTTTTGAGTTATTCCTGTGTAAGTATAGTATACTAGTTTAAATTTTTGTCATTATTTCTTTTCTTTTACTCTTTTGGTAATATTTTTGCATTTTAAATAAATTCTTTGCTTTTTGTTTCTTTTCTCTTTTTTCCCTCATTTTTATTTTTTCAGATATTTTTTTTTTGAATTTCGAATCAAATATTTAATTTTTGTTTCATTTCCCGTTTTTCCCTCATTTTCATTTTTTCAGATATTTTTTTTTGAATTTCGAATCCCATATTTAATTTTTGCTTCAATTCTCTTTTTGTCTTCATATTTTAAATATTTTTTTATTCCATTTTCTTCCTCTTCAGAAATAATGAAGACATCTAATTTTCTAAAACAAAGTTCTTTTTGCTATATTTATATGAGATTTAAAACAGACAAGTCGTTGTAATTTAGTTCTGAATATAATACTTCATAGTATTTAAGTCAGTTTAAATTGGTTTTTGTGGAATATACAGCAAAGATAAATTTTCAATTCTAACCGATCCTAATGTCTCATTAATATTTTTTGTAATATTTAATAAAAATAAGATCTTGAATATCATCGAATAGAATTATTCAAATGATTTATTAAAAATCAAAATTTTTATTTCTTAAATATTTTCTATGTTTCTCGTAGTTTAAATCATTTTTATTTTTTGAAAACAATTGATTCTTCTATAATTATTGCTACGTTTCTTAAATAATTATATCTTTTATTAAGAATTTAATCTAAGATATTGCTGTATTTCATATTCAAGTAACTATATCAGATCTATTATTCCAAATAAGAAATTGGTCTTATACTACATAAATCTAATTAAAACAAATTTTTTCGTAAATAGTTTTTGAAATAATAACTTCTAATTTGTTTCGATGATTGTAAATTGGGACTTGATAAAACGTTTGTTTTTTCAAAAAGAAACAGAGTTATAATAATTATTGAATCAGATTTTATTAAATCCTTAAAAAAATATTATGAGTTTGATTTTTAAAAAATCAATTTGATTAATCAAAAATACTTCGATAATATACTTTGCAATCTATCCTTTTAAAAATGTATTTCCGGAAAACTTACTATTTTTGAATTGAAATTTATATTTTTAATCTTTCTGTTTAAAATTTATGAATATTAAGTATATTTTATTATGAAACATGAGATTTAATTAGAAATTTACAATGATATAACTTATACTTAACTTTTATCTAAAACTTAACATTCAAAACATTTTACTGACTTATTTCTCAAATTATAAACTTTTTAATGAATAAGTTGTACAGAATATGTGAAAGGAAATTATTTCAAAGTTAAAAAATTGAGATAAAAACAAATTAGAATTCTTAAAATGTAAAACTAAGAGTTTTAACCTAAGACTTAACTTCTTACATTTGACCTCTTCTATTTTTTAAAAATTCATCAAATTAAATTTATCAAGAAATATTCTTTTCTGATAATACATAGAGGAACTGACTATAAATATAAATGAAGAGTCGGATTTGGAAGAAGAAACAACTGTGGTAAAAGAGGTAGAAGAAAATGCATAAAACCTTAAAAATATTTTAACCCAGAATTTTATTAAATAAACGATCTGATAATACAAAACAAATATCTCGAAAAATATTTTTTTGCATAAATAAAATATATTAAGATTTTCTAGCCGTAAGTAACTTAGATAAAGGCAGATACTAGCTTCTTGTTATAATGTTTTGCCTTCTCTACTGGTATCTGCTCTCAATCACAACCAATCTATTCGTATTTTATCTTATCTCATATATTTATTGAATTATCAATGTTTAACCCCGGATAAATCCTTTATTCATATTTTATAACCCAATGATTTGCCAAAACCAGAGCCACGTGTTTCTATAACATTTTATATCACATTCTACATATTTTTTTTGGTAACATTATTTCTGAGGCTTGTTGATTCGCTGAAGAATTAATAATAGTATTAATTTATCTTTATGTGTTTTTTTATAATTATTTCTTAATACTACAAAATATGATTCATTTGTAATTCATATGAGATATATCGACCCAGAAGTCGTTCACCATAAGTCATAAATACCTAATACAAAATTTAGTACAAATATAATTGTCATTTTCACATAAGCTAGTTGAATCTAAGCTATCCAGCTCAAAATGCATATATCTAAAAATAAATATGATGGCATTAGAATGCCTTATATTCATCTTCACAACGAATTCTAAATTTTTTTATTTGGTCAAAGAAGCTATTATCAACAGATTAATCTCATTTAAAATTATTTAACAAGCCCTAATAAAGATTTATGCTATATCGAAGCCATTTTATACTTCAGCATAAAATTTTATATGCTAGGCATAGCTTAATTTTTTGATATTCAGGTAATTTTAAAATACAGCATTTTTATGACAAACAAATATCATAGATTTCTTGACCTAAATCATATAAAAATAATTACTTTATATTTTCTTCCCATGAGTAATTCATATTTAAGTATTTAATAAAAAGGATTCGGTTAACCTTTCATGGTAATATAATAGAAAATTTTGAGCTTACAAGATGAAATTTGAAAATTTAATCCAAAATGATAAAAAGCACTAAACACTGGTCTCTTTATTAAATTTATTTCCCATATTCCTTCAAAATATTCCGCTAATATAAAGTAAAAAAATTTAGACGTTTGAAAATAAAAAATAAATTTAGAGAATGTACATTTTATTGGTAAATAAGATTAATCTTTTGCATCACCTATTATTTCAAAAAGAGTAACCGACAATAGATATAAAATTAGATTGGATTTAGAAGAGAAAAATATGGTGGTTATAGAAATAGAAGAAAATGTATAAAAAATATAATCTTAGTAGCCCAGAAATTTATTAAATGAATTGAACATTCAATGCTTTCCGGAAGTATTACATCTAACTTTGCAACAAGTTTGATGATCATAGGTTAAAACTGAAATGGTAGATTAGAACAATAAAATTTAGAAATATACGTTTTTTTTTCGAAAGACCAATAATTTTTGCACTGAAGAACATAAAATCTGGTTAGAATTGTATCATTTGAACAAAAAATGAAATTTTGCTTGTCATATATATTTATGAATGCTACCGAAATTTTCAATCACCAATTACAGAATGAATCTGGTATCAGGTAACTAAGAAATCATCTAAAATTATTCATTCATTCATCCTTGGCACTACAGCCCTATCGAGCCTTAGCCTACCTTAGTAATACCGCCCATCGGTCTTTTTTCAGTGGGTTTGTTTACTTTTCGGGTTTCATAACAAGGTTGTTTTAAATAGCATCTAAAATTATACTATGAAAATTCCTTAAGAAATCTTTAGCGATATAGATAGAATTTAATACTTCAAAAAAATAATCATTTCTACAAAAAAAAATTATGTACGCATATAACGTCAAAAACAAATAGAAGATTTCGAAAATATAAAGTTTAAAACAAAAATGAATATAAAACGTATAAATTATGAGTAAATTTTTTGTTACACTGCAAAATTTAACCAAATAAACTTAATTGAAAATATCGATAGCTATAATAAGAATTATAAACATTTAAGACACTAAATACGTTAAATGTCTCATCAAAACCTTTACATATAATTCGAACAATATTTTACTACATTTGGGGTGTTTTTTTATAAAAAATTACTATACGAAAAGGGTTACAGGTTTTATTATTATAAACTAAATAATCAGAATTAATTTAGAAAGTGATTCAGGCCTTTCTAAAAATGATATTATATTGCTAACTGCGGCATGACGAAATTTCCTGAGCTTTTAAATAAACATATAAACCCAAAACAACATCTTACCATACCACTAATATTTTTTTAAATTCTAAATAGTCTTTTGAATCAAATAAATTTTTATTTTTTTTCGAAGAAACATACGACTTGAAATTCATAAATAGACAAACAATGACTAAAAAACATTTAAAAAAATATAATTCCCCCTATTCTTCTAACATAGCACGCAATGTATTGTGAAAATTAAATTTAATAAGTTAAAACCTTTTTAAATCCAACTCATCTCCTTCAATATGTAAAACTTCAATGGCTTGTCCTTTTGTTTCAGCACCAATTTTATTTATTTCCATCAACGCAATACCCACAGCAATGCAACCTTTATTCAAAATATCAATCTTTACAATATCATTAAGAAATATTTCAGTTGTAATCAAGTGTCTATATTTATATATACCGGGCGCCATAACTGCTGCCCCAGAACATAAAGGTTTGTACGCACCTTCATCTAAAAAAATTGTCTTTTTTAAAACATCAGGTTCCATTCTTATATGTTGAAGTGTTGGTATATAAATATTATTATAAATAAAAATAATTGGTTTGTTTTCTTGCGTGATCACTACTTTCTTGTCTTTACATTTATTTACAATAAACGTATTTTCCACAGATAAAAATGAAGAACCGCCATATTTTTGCATCATTGATTTCTTTTCTTTTCCTCCCATCACATGTGATCCAACCACTTTAAGATTTTTAAATAGTGTCATTCTAGGGATTAAACAGTAAAAATATATAGCAATCAATATTTTCAAATATTTTTAATGTAAACTTTTTCATCTACTTAATCTCCCATGGTGTAGAGGTTATCATTCTAGTTTGTCATGCTGGCGACCCGGGTTCGATTCCCGGTGGGAGAGATTTTTTTTTCAATATATTTCTATTTACATAGAAATAATAAAAATATATTTTTATTTTAAGTGTAGACACCCTAAGAATGGCTATAGGTGATGCAAAGACCAATACATTTACCGAAGAAGGTAGAATTCTACAAGTAGAATATGCAATAAAAAACGTCTCCCAAGCAGGTACAATTGTAGGATTGAATTGTAACGATGGTGTTCTTCTTTTAGGAATAAAGAAAGGCGCTGTTCAAAGTTTTAAAGAAAAGATTTATAAACTAAGTGAAGGAATATATTGTTGTGTGTGTGGAATATTTCCCGATGCACTTCAAATTGTACAATATGCACGTGTAAATGCCCAAAATTTTCTTGAAGAATTCGGAACTTCTATGCCTGTCAGTACACTTGCAAGAAAAGTTGGTGAATTGAAACAAGGATTTACACAATCTGGAGGAATGCGTCCTTTTGGTGTTTCATTTTTATATGCAGGAATCAAAGACAACCAATATCTTTTATATTCAACTGATCCAAGTGGCACATGTAATGCATGGAAAGGTAAGGCATACGGAGAATTTGAAGATGCAATAAACAATGGTTTTAAAAATGATTTAAGTGATGATAATAAAACTTTTAAAGAAGGTTTAAAATCTTTGATTCAAATAATTTCAAAGAGTAGAGAATGCAATGAAGAATCTGCTCCTTTATTTGAAGTGTTACATTTAAGTAAAGATGGATGTAAATTTTTAACGAATGAAGAAATAATTAATGTTTTTAAAGAAATTGAAAAAGACGAAAAAATGAAAAATGAAAAAAAATAAAATTAAATATTTTTTTCTGTGGTTCTACTTTTTTATATTTTTATATGTTTTAAATCTTTTAATTTTTCCTTTCTAATTTTTTAGATTTTTAGTCCTTTCTTTAAATTAACAAATTTTTAATTTTTTTCATTCTATATTAATCAGAATGTAATAATTTTTTTTCAAATAACTATACAAATACAGATTCAATATTCAAAATAATTTTTTAAGATTTTGCAAAAATTATTTCAAATAAAAATGAAGAAAGATTTGTAATTAAAATTCTGTTGCTACAAATTTTAATTAATCATAAAACTCATAATTACACAAAAAAATTAAAAAGTACAGATTTATTTAAAAATACAGCCAATTCATAATTCATAATTTATAATTTACATTTCAAATTTCTTCTAAATAATTTAAATTCGATTTTTTTAAGCTTTAAAAACATATTTTAAAAATCTCACTTGTAAGTCTAAATATGAGATATATAAAATAAAATTAAGTTTATTTTTTTTCAATAGCAGTATACTTCAAACACAAACCTCTTTATAAACCTTAAAATATTTATTATTACGTCTATTATTACAAATATAGCAATTGTATAAGCCCCTAGATAAAAAAAGAAAATATGAATTAAATATTAATTTTAGTTTAGAAAGATGTACAAATATACCCTTAAAAAGACAAAAACATTACCAAACACCTAAACTTAGAGAAAATTAAAATAATCAATTAAATATTAAAATATTACATAAGTCAATATCTAGGTCTTCTTAAACTTCTTTTAAACTTATTTTTTAGATGTAAAATTTATTTAGACTTCGTAAAACAAAATGGTGGAAAGAACTATTTAAAAAAGAGAAAATTTGTTAACCCAGAATTTTATTAAAGAAAAATAGACTTCTTAAAATAAATTATTTAAAAAAAATAATTGTGCATTAAAATTATTTTAATAAAAAAGAAAAGCTTGTTGTTAAAATAAATATACAATTGCTTAAGAAAGTAGGAAAAAGATGAATTTTAAATTAAAACGTCGAAAGAAGGTTAACCACATAAAAAACTCTCTGCTTTGCAATGAGTGTGTGAAACTGGTGTGAAGATCATTGTTTGGATTTTCGGTGGGAATAAAACCACACTACATCTTCGGTTGTTCCATGGGATTTGTTATGAGGAGGAGAGGTCTAAGAAATGGAGAAGCTTACTCTACGATTTATTTGTAGTTTTTTATGTAACCAGATTGCAGACCGCAGCTGAAATTGTAGGTAATTGCTATGTAAAAGCATGGAAACTTAGCCTTGCTCACTCGGGCTAGAAGACTTAGCGCCTGGAAGATATAAAAATAAAAGCCATTAAAACACGGGAGAGCTAAGTAGCGGGTTATACCTGTTGGTATGACATTGCACTGTCTAGGTGGACCCCATGTAATTCTCTGAAATATATCTTCGCTAGAAGTTTATTGGGTTCAGAAAGTATGAAGTAAGTGGAATGCTGCGTAATCTTGGAGGAGTCCAGAGTTGATTTCGGCCTTCGATCACATACCATGCAACGGCTATAAAAGAACTCCGGGCAAATGCCTTGCCTGTAAATTAAGTTCTACGCACCTGGTAGATTAAAAGCTTTGGGACGTAGGTATCTCAGGGGGTACTGATGTAGTCTTGGGGTAGCATTTATTTATTAAACCTAGAAGTGCGTTAATGCCATGAAAACATATGTAGGAATTGTCACTGTTTTAAAAAGATGTGATACATTTAAATAAAGCTTTTATAGAAATAAATAATACCAAGAATAAATGAATAAATAGAATGAAGAATAGGCAATATATAAATAAATAAATTTATTTTTAAAGAGCCTCTGCAAGTTCGGCATGAATAACATACAAATCAATCTTAAAACCACGAAGTCTTTGAATAACTTTCTCTGCATTTTGTGCAGAAGAGAGTGTAATAAATGCAAATCCGCGTGATTTTTTTTTATTATCACTTCCTGTTGTATAAATTATACGTGTTTCAATAACTGGCAATTTACATTCTTTCATAATTATCATTTCAAGTTCTTTGCTTGTTATTTCCAAAGGAATATTTGTAATCCTTACTGAAGTCATGGTACTTCTTGGTCCGTACGAAGCAATAGAAGAAAAGGCTCCTATGTTTCTATTACGTGGTTTAAAAACATAAATATCACCTGTATTTGATACTACACTCTTTGATAAAGAAGTAGATACTGTTTGGAATGATGGGTATGGTTTTGAATTCGGAATTATGTTAGATGAAATTCCTTTTCCAAATTGTGGAAGTAAAGACCTTTCAGTTATTTTTTCAATATTCGGTTTGAAATCTCGTATTTCCATGGGTTTTTAAAAAAAATGAAAATAAATGTTAAAAGAAAAACTATTTTAGTTTGAAAACTGTAAATAGTTTCATATTTTTACAAATAATTTATAAAGAACTTAAAACAGGAAGAAATAATTTATAAAGAACTTAAAACAGGAAGAAATAATTTATAAAGAACTTAAAACAGAAAGAAATAATTTATAAAGAATTTAAAACAGTAAGTTATAATTTATAAAGAATTTAAAACAGTAAGTTATAATTTTAATCGAATAATTTTCTTCCAATGAAATGATATTTTTAGTATTTCTAGAGAATAACAGATAAAGAAGAATGGAGAGAAATTGTTAAGGAGGTCTGGATTCTTTAAGAGATGTACCACTATTTAGTATTAGTAATAAAATAGCTGATAAATTTAGTTATTGTATATCTCGTATTAAACTTTGATAAAAATCATAGAAGTTTCATTATGGAATCCGTAACAAAGAGAATAACTATTTATCATAGATTTTAATAGAAATTCAAGTGAATTTCATTTGTTTTAGATAATTTGGTAGAAATTAGAAATCAAATTTAAAAAAAAAAGAATAACCGAGACTACTATTCGTGGAAAAATAAGAAAATTTAGTGAAATATAAATAAAACTTTAAACAAATCATAAAAATATAGTGATTATAAGTATTTAAATATAATTAAAACTTTTAAACAAATTATTTTAAATCTAGATTTTTTTAAGGAGGAAATAAAAATTAAAATCAACATTTACAATTAAAAAGATTTTGTGGATTTTTTTATAAAATACAATAAATCTAGAAATATGTTATTTGTTTGAAACAACTAATTTAATAAAAATATTTTTTTCTATATTTTATTGTCTTTCAAGTTTTTACTTTTTAACTGAAGTTATTGGAAAATAATTTAAAAAAGAATTAAAAATCTGGTTTATAAACAATGCTTTATTATTTTTAATTTTTAAAAACAGAAATTCTTTAGAAATAATTTAAATAAAATTAAAAATCTGGTTTTGAAACAAAGATTTATTATTTTTGAAGTTTGGAAATTCTTAACAATTCGGCTTTCAATTCTGCTGCTTCATTTAGACCAAAAGAACCGAAATCTGTTTCATTTATGAAACCTGTAGAAAAATCCGAAAGTTCTTCTAATTGGTTTCCAGATTCTTCACTGTCGCAATTAAAAAACAAATCAAAATCATTTTCCATGGGTTCGATGAAAAACACAAATTTTAAGAAAATAGCAATTAGTAATAATTTGACAGATTTAAGAGAAGAAAAGGTTAAAATAGTGAATATAACACAAAGACCATCTAAATTTCCGTATTCAAAAGCAAAAATGGTAATTTCTAAGCAAAATATAATGACAAAACTTTTTTACAATGCCATGCAAGATATAGGAAACATGAATTTACAGATACGGAATTCCTTACACGAAATATTAGAAGAAATAAGAAAATTGAAAACACCAAAGAAAATACAAGCTATATTTATGAGAACAGATTATCTTTTAGAAAAAACGACCGGTGAAATGAAACAGGTTGAAACAAATGTCATAGCGTGTTGTTTTATATTTCTTGGTCCCTTATTAAACAAAACTCATTCTTTATTTTATGAAAAGGTTCTAATTTCTGATAGCAATAAGAAATTTATTAATTTTGTTGTCACAATATTTGAAGCTCAAGATAAAAATTATTTAAAGAATAAAAATATAGGACTGATGATAGATAATGAGACAAGTATACATTGTGCCAATTTCCATGATAAAATAGAATTTATAAAAGGAATTAAAGAAAAGGGAATCGATGTTTTTCATGTAAAAGTATCAGATTTGCAACAAAATATAAAAATAAAATTGAAAAATGGCGAAACAAAAAATA